CAAAGCCCCAGATGCAGCCATGAATAGAGAAGGAACAAAAATTACTAAGACAAGTAGCTTTCCGTGTCTGATGTAGCAGCAGCCAAAAAATAGTGACAGAGGAAGAGGTTTGCTTCAGAGGACAAGAAGGACCAGTTTTCAGTCTGTATGGCCCACCTCCGGGGAGAGCTTCTGCGCAATCGATCTTTCTCAAATGGGATTCCTTGTGGAGGGCCCAGGGGAAATGAGGTGCTCCCTGTAGAACAGCCTTGCTGCCATCCGAAGTCCGCACACTGCGGTAAGGCCATAGCACGCTGCTGGCCTGTAGCACATCAGCTGTGTCTTTTTGCCTGGAAAGGACAGGATCAGATTTATAACACACAGTGGGACCACGAAGGGGGAAGTCTCCCACTGCTTGCTGAGTCCTGTCCTCTGTGGCCTCCGCCTGTCATCTGGTTAAGGACGAAGCTCTTACAAAAAGGTGGACGAGGAGAGTCGGGAGCAAGCTCTACCCCCTGGGCGCCACACCCAGGGCGTGGTGGTGGGTGGAGGCCTTGGGGGGCTTGAAGGAGACAGTTTCACTTCTGGCCCCAGTGTGGGGGGGGGGCGGGGGATCGGGGTGGGGGGGAAGAGCCTCCCATTTTGGATTCCCTGTTCTGGTTGGCAGACCGAGCCTTTGCTCTCCTGGCCTTTTGCTGTGGATTTAGATTATTCAACACTTTGCATCCAATTTACTGATCCTAGTACCGTCGGGGGAATCAGATGGAGGAAAACAGAACCAAGTGCACATCATTTGCATTATTGCGTTAGAAACCCCCTTAACTGTAACGATTTCCCTTTTTCATTTGAGGTGTTTGTCTAGGGAATTTTCAACATCTCAAATCAGAATTGATTTTCTTTGGGGACCCAGGGAGGCATCCGGGCATGCTTCTAGGCAGAGCGAATAATAGGTTTTTTTCTATTGAGAAAAAGTTGCTGCCATCATGAACTATTGTCATTTAGTGCTAAACACGCATTTCACTGATAATTTGAGAGGCTGGAGAAATGGGGTGCAGGAACCCTTGTTACTCTGAGACAGGAGGTAGAAAAACAATGATGCAGTCCCCGGAAGAAGGGCAATGGAGTGGGGCACCTGGGTGGCTCAGTCGGTTAAGCGTCCGACTTCGGCTCAGGTCATGATCTTGCAGGCTGTGAGTTTGAGCCCTGCATCGGGCTCTGTGCTGACAGCTCAGAGCCTGGAGCCTCTTCAGATTCTGTGTCTCCCTCTCTCTCTGCCTCCCCCCACTAATGCTTTATCTCTGTCTCTCTCTCAAAAATAAATAAGTATTAAAAAAAAAAAGGAAGGGCAACAGACTGATTCTGGCACAACCCAGATGCCATATTTAGTCCTTTTGTTAAACTAGGGGTCTGTGCAATTGGCCAGAAAATATGGTTCTGCTCACTTCTAGTGACTGGAAGTACATGTCAATCATCCTTTCCATGTTAGCTATTTGTTTTTAAAATGAATAATTTGTTTAAAGACATTGACTAGAACTTCTGGGCTAATCTTAAGACTTTTACCATCTTCCCTCTTTTTAAAAAAAATTTTTTTTACTGTTTATTTATTTTTGAGAGAGAGAGAGACAGAGAGAGAGAGTGCGAGCAGGGGAGGGGCAGAGAGAGAGGGAGACACAGAATCTGAAGCAGGCTCCAGGCTCCGAGCTGTCAGCACAGAGCCCGACGTGGGGCTTGAACTCACGAACCATGAGATCACGACCTGAGTCAAAGTCAGGTCGACCAGGGCACTACCCAGGTGCCCCAGCATCTTCCCTCTTTTCGGGGAATTATTGTTTCATGAGTAGAGTCTCACTTTGCGATGGTGGAAAAGGTCCGGAGGTGGATGGTGGGTGGTGATGGTTGCTGAACAGGGAGAATGTACATAATGCCACTGACGTGTACACTTAAAATGGCACATTTTGTGTCGTGTTTATTTTACCACAACAACAACAAAAAAATCTCTAAAATAACAATGGGGAGAAAAGGAAAAAAGTGGACTAGGATTTGTAAGGGTGGAAGCAAGACTTCACCCAATTATAACCCGTCCCCTCATTTTCCTTTTGTTTTTTGTTGAAGCCAAACACACTTAGAATAAAGTATGTGGGGGTGCCTGGGTGGCTCAGTCGGTTGAGCGTCCGACCTCGGCTCAGATCATGATCTCACAGTGTGAGTTCGAGGCCCGCATCGGGCTCTGTGC